TTACTGGTGATTGCCTTGAAGTGTTCAGTTTTTCGGTCATGCAATTTCCGTTTGGTTTTGCCAATGTAGAAATCCTGACAGTCCCAACAACTAGCTTTATATACAACTTTGGACATTTGAGAACGGTTGAGCCTGTCTTTGTAGGGGAACAGAGACTTGATGCGATGTGTGTTTTGGAAAATAACCCTAAGGTCATTGCACCCATAAAATATATTTATACAAGCCTTGAGTTGTTTGGTAATAATTTTGCTTTGCAACCCTAAATAAGATAGTACTAATCCAATTTCTTTTTTTGGGTACCATGCAGGTACCATGGCTGTTGGATAATCTTGGTTTGTTTTGTTGACGTCATTAATGACCATTAATATTGTAGTTAACAGCGCCACTGGAGCAGCCGTTTTTGGCAATAACATTTTCAGCTCCTCCAAGGAGGATCCCAACAGCAAATCGAAACAAAGGCGACGAGCAAAGGCGAAAACAACGGAAAGCGAGCGTTCGGATAAGATTAACTTTATCGGGGTGTGAAAGAATCCCATTTCGTGATGGTCTCACTAAGATTCATAAACCTGGCTGCCCTTTTCGTCCTATTGTTTTCTCTGTAAACACTTATAATTATAATCTCGCATCATACCTTGTGGATATACTTCTGCCAATTTCCGCAAATCAGTTCACAAGCAAGGCCTCTTTTAGTTTTGCGCACTTGGCCAAATCATATAACCATAACAACGAGGTGATGTGCTCATTTTACTTTAGCTCTTTGTTTACAATTGTTCCACTCGACGAGACAATACAATTTTGTCTTAATAAACAAGCTATGTTCTCCCCGATCCACCAACACTATCCCGCTCCGTCTTAAAAGTTCTGCTTGAGTTCGCTACAAAGAAGACTAAGCCATTTTTTTCGATGGTCAGTACTACAATTAAATTGATGGTGTAGCAGTGGGATCACCTTTAGGCCCTGTTATGGCAAATATCTTGATGAGCCACTTTGAGGAAAAATGGGTTCTTTAACAGCAACGCTCCGGCCCTTCTGTTTGGTTCCGATACGTCGACGACACGTTCACCTTATTTGACAGTAAGGACAAAGCAGTTTTACGCTCGCCTTTCTTTTTGGTTATGATACATCGATGACTCGTTCACCTTATTTGACAGTAAAACTGCTGTGTCCTTACTGTCAAATAAGGTGAACGTGTCATCGACGTATCGGAACCAAACAGAAGGGCGAGCGTTGCTGTTAAGAAAAAAAAAAAAATTCTACACTATCTCAATACCTGTCATGTAAATATCAGTCGAAGAGAATAACGCAATCCCATTTCTTGATATCCTCATCAAACGCTCAACTGATCATACTTTCGGCTCCAGAAAATCTTTAAATAAGAACGGCCGAGACCAGGTTTTATGAGCCTGCGAGACTGAGCACCCCAAACAAACCCTTGTTTTCACGAAACCGCTGGTCAGCCAAGCCTGGTTTAGGTCGTTGTTATCTCCGCCTTTGCTCGTCGCGTTTGTTGTTGCGATCCTCCTTGGATGAGGTGGAAATGTTATTGTCAAAAAACGGCTACCCCAGTGGCGTTGTTAACTACAATATTAATGATGTCTTGAGTAGGCAACAAAACAAACCAAGGAATCCAACAGCCATGGTAGCNAAAAATAAGCCACTCAAAAAGGGCCTTTGAAAAATATAAGCCCCGGGGCTTATTTTCGGAATTTTACGGTACCTTATTTAGGGTTGCAAAGCAAAATTATTACCAAACAACTCAAGGCTTGTATAAATAAATTTTATGGGTGCAATGACCGTAGGGTTATTTTCCAAAACACACATCGCATCAAGTCTCTTTTCCCCTACAAAGACAGGCTCAACCGTTCTCAAATGTCCAAAGTTGTAAATAAAGCTAGTTGTTGGGACTGTCAGGATTTCTACATTGGCAAAACCAAACGGAGATTGCATGACCGAAATACTAAACATTTCAAGGCAATCATCAGCGCATCAAAAATCCACATTTCCACACTTCCAAAGTTCGCAACGAAAAGTATTCGATTCTACGTTTACAAGACATTATAGTGCTTTCATGCATGCATACATTTGTTTCTATAGGCGCCTGTCGCATACATTTGTCTTAAATTAGCGATAATGTTACTCTTTTGCCCATTCCACTCTGATGACGCATTCTGTGCTCTTCTACCCGAAGTAAAAGCCATCATCAGTAACGGTCATTGATCAGCTATTGCAGAACAACGTCACTTCAACTGGTCACAATTTGAAATGGGACCATTTTGACCTTTTACCAGGAGGAAAATTAGGTACCCACTGTAAAATCAAGGAGACTAGCTCTTCTTATTAGGGATTTAAAACCAGCCATAAATGAAAACATGAGCAGCGAAAAGCTTTACTTATAGTAGTTTGCATAATTTCGTACAAATTTTCGGTTTGACAGGTTTTTCAGTTATTTCAAGATGGATAATGTCAAGATTTTTTGGAACGATTTTTCCCACTGTTCCTTCAGTTTCTTTGTTTCCCTCTTCTTCCTCCTCCCCCTCATCTTCTTTTAAGTTTCTCCTTGTTTTCCCTCCTCTTCCTAATTTTGTTAAGCATTTTTATTGTTTTAGTCCAACACCTACATAACCACCTACCCCCACATGTCTTTTGTTTCACCTCCGCTTCCGCCACCACCAAGTGAGACACGTTTCTATTGCTTCGCCGTCACCAGTCCAACACCACTTTCATCAGGGGAAACTAGTTATGAAAGCCCTAGGCGAAACAAAGATTCGTGAGGGTGCTGTAGCGGGTTTGCGTTGAGAGCTCCCTCAAAGTGCAAAATATTTTGTTTTCGGCTCATACATTGACTGGATCAATCCCAATGTAACATTTCTATTTGTCAGTTACTTCAAAATGATCAGGAATGCTACTGAACGTTGGTAAAGACCAAAAAGCGAACAAGGACATATAACAAAGAACTCTGCTCGGCTGGTATCCTAAAGATCATCAAGCTTTTATTTTTTTTTTCTGAGATGAGCCAGGGGGCTAAAAGGAAAATTAAATTTAAAATTTCATAGCCCTGAAATACTTTATGGATATTACTTCTTAGCCCATTATATCTCAAATATTTTATCTGTTTCTTAAATGTTCTTCAATTACAAAGTAACCAAGATAAAAACCAGTTGAAACTTACAGATAAGAGTTTCAATTAGAGACGGACTGTTATTAAAAATCACTGCCAAGGCCGAGTTCATTTGAATTAAAGAACTGAAGTTGTAAAGAAGACTTCTCAAAAATATGACTCTGGTGTTTTAAAAATAAAAACATTACCTGCGATCGATCAGGCCTTGTTTTTGGAGCGCGAACAGCGGTAAGGGAAGCGTAAAAGTTGGAGGAGTCCGGCTTCCGCCGGAAAAAAAGGACGATCGATTGATCGCAGGTACACAATGGAAAGCGTCGGATAATAAAGAAAGTGGTGCAAGAGTATTGAAGTAACTTAAAATTGCGCAACACAGGATACTTGGCAAACAAACGAAAACGAAATCATGAGTCATTTATTCGGTCAACGTACTGCAAAGTTGTAAGACAGAGTTCCAGTTTTGATACCAGTAAATCTGGGAGTGGAACTGGTTATTTTTTCTTTTAAGTTATGGCCGACTGGACTAAGTAAAATTCGGTAACATTTTGTGCGCAGTTTGTTCACTCGCGGCTTTTCCATCATTTCTATAGCCTTACGCCTAGGCCAGTGAATAAACTAGTCGATCTTTAGAAGGATTTGAACAAGTTTTTCAGGTTTGGAGGCGAACAAAGCATCAATTGATGTTTTATAGGTACTTGAATTATTATTGTTCTGTCTTGGGATGGTTTTCTGGCCAGAACATAAATACTGCTTTTCGAATTGCAAGGTATTTTTCCAGTGTCGTGACTGTGAACGTTTAGGACAAAATCGATCCTTAGAAAATCATTGACGTCTCTAGCTATTCATGTTTAAAAATGTACCTTCATTCAATGGACCCGTTTTCTCTTCTTCAAATAAAGAACAAACATCTCCAAAACAAATCCATATCTTTGATCAACTCACCTTATTTTTTTCGAAACCAGTCGTTTTGTCAAAACACCTGTTCTTTGGTACAATACAGCCTTAATTAACGCTATGCTTTTGTGCTTATAACATTGAACTTGAAATTAGGAGTCGAGCGCAGACCGCTTTTTCAATGAAGTTTTTGTTTTAAACGAAAATAAGCAGCAGAACCAGGTGATAGGCCTCTTCGCTCAGCCAGTATACACATTGACACACTTAACTACAAGTTTTTTTGGAAACATAATTTGTATATAATTTATTGGTTTGTCTAATAACCGGATAATCGTCTGTCTGTAATTTTCCACTTTGAGTTAGTGTCGCCTCGGGCCTACATTTTCGGCGAAGTTAAAGTAAAAGTGATGTGATAAGACCTCAAAAGTGAGGGCTAGATTTATGAGAAAAAGCCTGTTTGCACTGTTATGAAATGTAAAAGTCGACTGGAAATATCAAGAGCCTAAGACCGCTTAAATGTGCTTCCGTGTTTTGAAAGGATAAAAGTGACGACAGGAAACTGTTATCATTTAATCCCCACTACTTTACGCAAAGGTGCTCCGATGTTGAAAAAACATTTTCGCAAAATTTACATTTGTGATTTTGGGTAAGAGAAGATATAATTTGCCAAAAGATAAAGATGTTGTGCCGGCAGAAATTTTCACCCTTTTAGTGGAGAGGGAGAAACATTTATGACCGTGAAAAATCCATAGCGCTGCTTTGAAGATTTGTTGATATTTACATTACAAAGAGAGTGACGGCTTTGACGGAAAATCCTTAAATGTGTCAATTTTGCAATTTTCGCAAGGCCATCGCAAAAAATGGAAAATTAAATTTTGTAAAATCATTTTGTTTCTACAATCAGTCCATATTGGAACAGCGTTTGTTAAAGAAGGGTACATTTAGGGTTTTCGATGTAACAAGTTTTCTCTGAATAATGGCCGACTCTTGATTAAATTCGCGTCCCTAAAATAATCCTTTGGTGGAAAAATATAGAATAATCGCTACATTTGAATAATTTCTCCCCACCATGACCCCTTTTAGTCATTACAGGAACCCAACGAAAGACGGTGACGACGGGCAACGGGAACTTCGAAAACAAA